GGGATTTTATATTATAAGTTTTCTTTGTACTAGAATTTCTGTTGAAGGTAAGGGAAAATTAGAGTCATTTAGGAATTTTTTTAATTAAATAAGTTTTAGAGTAAAGTATCATTTATTACATGGAGCCCTTATCAGACTTGTCAATCTGATTGCTTTATTCTCCAAAAAGTGTTGTGTTAGCCATTTAGGCAACCTAGCCTTGTACTGTTTAACCATTGAACTCATTGATTCTGGGTTCAATTTAACCTCTTGAAGGAAAGGACAATCACAGGCACTAGCATTGTAAGCGATCTCACAGGGCTTCTAATGTAGCATCTTACCGGGTACAGTAAATCCCCCATGAGAATGTCCATGTCAGGTGTTCCCTCCCATTACTAAGGGCGGGACTGCTTTTCCCTATGTCATCACCTCATTGAGCAGTCTGAGCTTAGTGAGAACAAAGGTAAGACAGCTTTAATTTTCACCATTCACTGCTTTTAACTAACTGTGCTCTGTAGTATCTTCCTGTCTCTCTCTCCCCCTGCCTCATGACATCATGGGTAAATGATAGCTTTTTTATCATTTATAGCTATTACAAACTCCAGTCTATTCCAGTTTAAGCCTTCAATCTCATATTCAATTTAAAGCTCTTTTCCTCCGTTACCTCACTGTCTGGCTACTTACTGCCTGAAGCCCTTGGGGTAGGGAGGGATTGTGGTATGCTCCTGGGATACCTCTATCCCTCTTCAGGGACCTACTTGGGCAGGGATTAGTCAGAAGAGAAATGGAAAAAGATAAGTATTTGTTATCGGGTTGCTAAAGCCCTCTCTTGATTAACGGTGGCAGGCCATTGATGTCCACCAATAGGCAAGCAAACTGACATTTTTGGTGAGATCTTGTAGGGAGACTGCTACTGCAAGTTCACTCCTATTCACAGTTCTTGGATATGAAAATTTCTGTGGCTAAACCTTTGCCATCGTATGCACCTGTCAGTCCACTCTCTGGTTACTGTGAGTGTGTGGGGTGAGTTGGGGTGGGGATCTTTTCTCTCTACAGCCAGGTTTTTGGGTGATGGCAAGACAACAGTAGTCCAGGTACTTCTACAGTTTCCTCTCAGCCCACGGAAACACACTTCCTTGAGATGCCAAATGGTGGCATGCAGGCTGCTTAAGTTTGTCCCCTTTCTGTGCCTTGCCATTTCTTATCAATTCTCTTTATCCTCCTGCTCAAATAGGGACAGTCAGTCCCTCAGTCTATTGTATAAGCAGACATCAAACTGGAGAATGAGAGGCCAGTCTCTTCTTTTTCTAGGCACTTCTGATCTTGGTAAATGATTTCCCTTTGAGGACCTCTGCCACTGTTTTTGGGTGAACACCTCCTTCCTTTTCCTGTGTTCTGTGTTCTCCCTGTGTTCTTTTTCTGTCTTCCGTCAACTGCTTTTACAGAGTGAAAGCATGGTAAGGTGGTGGTTAGGGTGCCAGAGCCATTCCTCACTCCACAGAAGTGTGATCCATGATGTCTGTATATCCTCAGCTTTGTGTTTGTCAGTGATGATGGAGCAACAGGACTAGTCCCACTTGGTATCTGTTAACAAATAGTAAAGTCCCGTGGGCCTGATAAGGTCTCACTGTGCAGAATTCTATTTTTCTTCTTCTTTTTTTTTGCTTTATGTCCTTTATGTCTCTTTCTGATTTTTTTTTTTTTTTGGCTTATTTTCTGGTTCCTGACTCATGAAGTGTTGTTAACTATGAATATGTTAACTTATGACTGATGTGTAGGACCTTAGAGTCAATAAGTAAAGCTGAAGAATAAATTTGGTGGGGTGGGGGAGGTTAATAATATAATTTTATCTGTTCTTGCCTCATACTAGCTTTACTAAGAATATACATTCAAACAGAAATATAGTGTTTGAACCTTTTTTTCT